ATTTGTTCACTTCGCTTTCAAGTCAGTACTAAACTCTATTACCTCCCCTCAGCGGGCAATCAAACCTTAAGAATTCTGGTAATTTTAGTGTCAGAAATGAACTGGTGGCTAAAAATTCACAATTAGGGAATATGCCATATTCCCTAATTAGAAACTTTTTCATAGCCACACATAGGCAAACATTGGCAATAATGTGTCGGTGAAAGACACAATCAGCCAATGAAGTTCGTTTCTTGATTGTACAGTCCACTAACAAATTATTGCCGATGTTTGCCTTTTTTTTTTTTTTTTTTTTTATATGGCTCGTCGTAGAATTATATGATAAGAAGTAATTGTGATAAGGAGTCAAAATGATTCTTGAACAAAAACAAAAAAACAGAAAGGCCGCAAAAGCTCAGAAATAAATAAACTGACCGTGTTCCATCGGCGGCAACACCTTACACCTGCCGAGCTTACCCTTTGTCATACTGACGTGCATTTTTTGGGTCAAAATATTTTTAAAAGCGCTTGGTTTTTTTCTTCTTTTAATGTGTTTGTCTGTTATTGTGGGCACCCTTCGGTGTGCTCGCTCAAACATTGGCATTGCCTGATTATCTGGCCTCATACCGGATTTCTTGTGTCACTGCAGTTATACTGTACCACAATGACACTTTTGTCCGCGCAAACTCAAGTCACTGGTTTCTAATTACGACCGTTTTTACTTCGTTATTAATAACCTGATCGGTACTTTTCGACAAGTGGAATGAGTGCAGTTTATGAGAGCAGTTTGCGGCTTAAACAAAGCTTAACAAAATTGATATGATCAAATCAAACGCAATTTGAGCTGCAATTTCCGCTCTGCCACCTTTTTATGTGTATCGCAAATAAATTCCAATCAAATTACAGTAATTGCATGAAACTCTCGCGACGTGAAAACAAAGTATAACAAAACCCATTAAGCTAAATTGATATTCCCGATTAAGTTTATTTCAATGGAAGCGTTTGTGTAACCACTGAAAATTTAACATACGACAATTTTCACTGCTTATACATATTCAAGGTGTGAAATTAGGTGTGAAAAAATCTCACGCTAGTAATTAATTCATTGACATGAAGGTGCCACACAAGAAAAGTGAGATGTTCCCAAAGCAGCATTTCAAAACTGCCCTGAGGACTAAATTACAGACTTATAATGTATCCTAAGAAACGTAATCGATAAAAAAATAAAATTATGAAAGGCTTTGATTGATAATTTTAGGTTATACTCACAGTCAGTAAAGCATGATAAACAATGTGTTCCATCATGTGCAAAATTCGGTGGAGATGAAACTGAATTTTTGCATGAGATTATGAACAATTTATATTCTCGTGGTTTATGTGATAGAAGGAGCTCCTGTATATCGTTTATCAATTTGAACTGCGAGGGCTAAATGCCTTTCAACAATAAATGTAGGTATATTGTTGAAAGGCATTGTTGAAAGGCATTGTTGAAAGGAGTTGTTGAAAGGCGTTGTTGAAAGGCATTGCTGAAAGGCATTGTTGAAAGGCGTTGTTGAAAAGCATTGTTGAAAGGAATTATATATAATCCCCGCATGAGTGAGTAATCACGAAACAGGCTTGTAGGGATTAAATTACGGTTTCTTTGTTTATATCTCCTATCTCAATATATATAGCGCTCTACATCTACGTATTGAGCATTGTACGACGCAAAAATCGAAACACAGACTTCACATATATATATATATATATATATATATATACATATATATATATATATATATATATATGTAAAATTTTGACTTTCGTAAAACAGTGCTCAGTACATAGGAGTATAGCGATGTATATATGGCGGGAGAAAAAAGACAAATAAACTACAGGTTCATCCCTGGGGATTTAAAAATCAAAACCCCCTGATGAGTATAGATATATATATATATATATATATATATATATATATATTTATATCTGTTTATAAGAGTGAATGCTTTTTTATGAGAACTGCTTTATCTTATTACCATTAATCCACCTTTTGGACGAGAGCTGTCAATTTAAGACTTTAAGGGCAAAGTACGATTGAAATATAATTTGCATTCTCATTCCATAATCACTATTTAATCCAGGCAGACGGTGGGTGAAAGGACATTTTTTGGCGAGATGGAGCTGACAAAAGAGGGAAGTAGTGCAGAAATAAGTGATAACTCAGCTACCGTGACTACAAAAAACACCAGTTGGTTTGGAAAGTTCGGAGAAAGAGAGGGGATCAAAGAACAAGAACAATCCCAGCCTATACATGCCTGGCAATCAAATACAGATGTAACTCGGCGACTTCTGTTCATATCAATTGCAGTTGGCACTATAGCATTCCTCGCGGCTATGGCAGCTTTGGTTTTAGCTTTGGTCATGATGAAGTCTCACACATTCAACGCGTCCTCGTCTTTTCCGACGGATAATGGCGCTCTTCAGAGTAGGTGGACTTGCATACTCCATGCTTATTCTAATCTCTGAATAGACAACTTCCTTAGGAATTTGGGGCTCAAAACAAAAATCATGACCAGAAACTGCAAACCTGATAATGGGAAAAGACATAATTTAGACTAAAGACAAAACAAGAGGGGCCTTCAAAGGGCTTCAAGTTATGTTTTGCAAGAATGATTGGAAGTGAACATTCGACTGAGAAAAAAAAAAACCATGATTGGTAATTTATAGCTGTATGGCTTAGACGTCTTATGCTCCTTGAAAAAGTGCAGTATAACACATTTGCCTTTTATAACGAAAACGTTACACCAATCCTTTAAGATAGCTTTTTACAATTAATCAATCTTTTTTCGCACAGCATTTTCTGAAGCATTGGCTTGTTAAAAAATAGTCATCGGTCTGACTGATTTTCGCGTTTAGCCTTCCTTTGTCGCGGTAAATGTCGCTCTCTTGGAAAATATGACTTTAGGCAAAGAATCAGAGATTTATCCCTGGATGAAGCACTTGGGTCCAGAAAATAATTGTACTTTTAGAAGGGTTAATAATAAGTCTCTCTCTTGATGAGACGACGGTATTTTTTTTAGCAAAAAATCAGTTAAATCAATCCAATCAAAGAGTGTTTTCGTCCGTGCCAAATCTAAATTCCGCCCCAAGCAACTAATGCTGTGCGTTCAACGTCGTCTGTCTCAAGACAGGTTCATTTAACAACGTAAGGCAGTTAAAGCATATTCCAAATAAGTTAATGAATTCTCGAACACCTTTTTTTCATTAATTGTTGTTTTAAGGACGTCAGTAATCAATTTCGATTTCAATTTCAAAAAGGGTTGGGAGTTTCCCTTGAGACCTGTCAAATTGAGATTTTAACAATGTCAAAAAAGTCTTTGAAGTCTACATCAGTTTTGCTTCGTAGTTTTTCCTTAGTTTCAAACATTTTTAAAGTCAACTTTGCGACCAAAGAACGTAAAGAAAAGGACCTACGTTTCCAAAATATGTCCATAATGCCGTGTTATCAGCTTCTCAGTGAAGAAAAGAGTACCCAGTAAAATACTTTAGTTTTCATCCCTTCGTCCAAAGGCAATGGGAATTGCGTACTGCAAATTTGATATCGTCTCTTCTTTCATATATTCATTTCCACAGGGGCGTCAGAGCTTGAAAAGAATGTGCAAGAGATGAAAAGGAACCTCTCAGCTCTGCGAGAATATTCGGTAAGAGGATATTCTTTATCATTTGAAGCAATGGGTAAAATTCAAAAGTTCACTGATGTATATTTTACACCCAGTAAGTACACTAGATTGAGGATCTCAAACATTTTCTGCACAGCTGCGACTGGTCGAAATAATTATAAAAATATTTTTCTCCGTTGGTTTTTTTGGCCTTCTTTCAGGGTGTTGATCAAATTCTTTTCTTCTATTCTTTTGCCTTTTCTCGCCCCCTGACTCGACGATGTAATGAAAATCATTTTATAGGATCAAAAAACTCTTCTCCCGCTGAACAATTACATATATTTCACGCCAGAAAGCTTTTTTCTAAGAGCCCCATTTTCCAGCTACTGTCTCTTATTAAATACTTAATCCAATCTATCTTTTAATCATTCTGCTGGTTGCCGTTGTTAAACGATAAAAATAGGAATATATCTAATCTAAAAATATTGTAAGGGTTTCCTTTATTGGTGTTGGAATAATGAATGGAAATAATGTATTAGCATAAGCCATTCCGTAAACATTGTAAAAAGCCAGTTGATCATTTCTTATTCCTTTTGGCGGTCTTACCTTACAAGTAGAGTTCGGTCACCTTTCCTTATTATGATTGTGAATTTGACATGGAGACAGATGTTTTTGCGTAAACTGCGGTTTTCGGCTAGTTACCGGTACCTTTTCATTATGTTGCTCAAAAAAAAATTAATTACTAAGAAAATGACTCTACCCTATAAAAATTGATCCTGCACAGGAGTTTCCTGGAAATATCTCTTCTTTATACTTTTATCCATTTCGTACTCTCGTTTTTAGGCTAAATCCATGTCGAATTCCCGATCAGGAAAATAGTTTTCAGTTTTTAATTTTAACACGTGCGACACCTCTTTTTCTTAGAGGTGATTTAAGGTGTAAACGTGAATTACTTTCATCTTCCGCACTGAATTTGTAATTAGATAACCTATACGAATAGCACGTAGCTCTCTTAGGGGCGGTACCTTGGGTACGCCCTTTCTTCTCCGAATTTTGTGTTTACTCTGCTGTTATGCAGCAACCTTCAAGGACAACTTTTAGGATATCTTTCCAAGTATGATTTTAATTCTGTTACTAAGTTTATTATAATTTTTATATTGTCAATCTTGTTTTGTTTTGCCTAAACTTAATTGTAAGACCAAGAAATTTAAGTTAGAAAGACATTTCGTAAGGTGTGAACATCGCGAAGGTAACTACTTAGTATGCGAACTCCGCTCTACGTAGCCCGACGTGATTCGCTATTTAAGTATAAAAATTTGACGAAGGTTAGAGATTGACAGCTCTGTAAGTGTCACCTTTATAAACGGTGACCCTCACTTTCCTCGAGAGGTCAGAGCTAGTCCCCGTTGTGACAACTAGTGTAAAAAGTTAGAATAAAGAAAAAGTCAACAGAACGAGTGTTAGATTAAATTTTACTCTTAACACCGTGTAAGAAATCAATTATGGCAGTTTTGGAAGACAGTTGTTCTGGGCTTTTTTTTTTTTCTTAGCACGAAATATATCTTTACACAAGTTGATAAATACCCTTACGAGCGTGACAAATGCCAGCAAATCATCTTGATCATTAATCTTATTTTAACTATTTTTCTTCTTATATGCTCCTTGTGGTCTACATTGATTGTTGCCACCCGCAGATTGACAATTTTTGGGGGTTGTGAAAAAAAAGCGACATTTCCTAAAAAAAAAATATTGTATGTTCCACTTATCATAGAACACCAGATTTTGCCCTTTACCAGGACCAAAATACAAAAGAAATCTGGCTCGCAATACAAAGTGCACCCTACAAATTGAACAAACTAAACACAACTGTGAATGAAAAGCTTCTTGATTTTCGACAGCAAATCTTGCAGCTTGATTAAAAAGCGCGTGCAGCTTAATGTAGTTAGGGACTAACTGAACTTTAAACTTTGGTCTCTAATTTAAATTACAAAAAATTAGCGGCCCTAACTTACATAACTGAAACTCAAATAGGCGACGCTACCCATATTACATCGATGAAACTTATAGGCTTCGAAGCTACATTGAATGAAAAGACTGCTGGCTGCTTATTATCAGCTGTTATGATTTTGTACCAGTAAAAGATAACTGGTTTCAATCTCTAATACTTGTCTCCTACACCAGAAAATAATATTCTTGGGAAAAAAAGGAATCCAAGATCTAGAGATTTTCGAACAAAATAACACACGAAAAGATCATAGAACAGTATCTCAGTCAGATTGTTGCACACTTGCAATAAAAGCCTGATAAAAAAGGCCTACTTTAGAAGTACTGTGTCGGGCAGTTTCTCTTGGTAGCTGTTCACCCGAAATAAACATAGATCACATGATTTACCTTTCAAGGTAAGATATGCTTGAATCGACTTTTTCCTTCCGCAGACCGCATCGTTTACACTCACCTTTGATCTATACGGTAACCATTCTCTCAATGAATGATTACATATATTTCACGCCAGAAAGCTTTTTTCTAAGAACCCCATTTTCCAGCTACTGTCTCTTATAAATACTTAATCCAATCTATCTGTTAATTATTCACTGATACCTCGTGTATTGGCTAATAGGGAATCAATTATAGCAGTTTTGGCAGCAACTATTTTTTTCTTTTTTTACCATGAAATATATCTTCACTCAGGCTGATAAAAAACCCTTATGAGCCTACCAGGTGTCAACAAGTCATCTTGATCATTAATTTCATTTAATTTATTGTTCTTTTTTTCATGCTTCTTTTGATCTACACTGATTGATGCCCCCTGCAAATTGACAATTTTTGGGGGTGGTAGAAAAAACGTGACATTACCCAAAATATGTATCGTATGTTTCACCATTAAAGAGCACCATATTTTTCTCTTTTTCAGGACCAAAATACAAAAGAAATCTGGCTCGCAATACAGAGTGCACCCTGCACATTGAGCGAACTAAACACAAGTGTGAATGAAAAGCTTCTTGATTTTCGAAAGCAGATCCTGCAGCTTGATCAGAAGGTGCGTGTAGCTAAATGCGGTTAAGGACTGACTGAGCTTTGAGCTTTGGTCTCTAATTTAAATTATAAAGAATTAGCGCCCTAACTTACATAAACTCAAGTAGGCGACGTTAATTATGTAACGTAAATGAAACTTAAAAGCTGAGAAGCTACATTGAATGGAAAGGCTGCTAATCCTTAGCTGTTACGATTTTGCATCAGTAAAAGTTCACTGGTTTCAATTTTTCACACTTGTTTCCTAAACCAGACAATAATATTCTTAGGAAAAAAGGAATCCAAGATCTAGAGATTCTCGAACAATAACATACGACAAGACCACAGAACGGTATCTCAATTAGATTATTACGCGCTTGCAATGTAAGCCTGATAATAAGGCCTACTTTAGAAGTATTGTGTCAGGCAGTACTTCCCTTGGTAGTAGTTCATCCGAAATTAATAAAGATCACATGATTTACCTTTCAAGGTAAGATATGCTTGAATCGACTTTTTCCTTCCGCAGACCGCATCGTTTGAGAATTTTGAGAGATCCTCTAAAAAATTTCAACTACCGTCTGGCTCATTGACTAAGTATTCATTAGGATGGAAAGTTTTGTAATGAATAAAAAAAAGAAAATTGGAATTAAATGACATTTTGTTTCTCTTATTGGATGCTATTATTACAGACAAAATTATCATTACTGCTATCATTAGCATCACAATCATCATTCTTGTTGTTTTTAAATTTTCTAGGTGATAAACATTAATGGAAGCACGAGAATCAAAGGACCACCTGGATTCAATGGTACTATGGGTGATATTGGACCTGCCGGATCTCCAGGATATAATGGTACCCAGGGCCTACCTGGACCTGGGGCCAGTTCCTGTGTTTACAATATTGCATCCAGCCCTGGTATGGTAACAGGTTCGCTCGCCAGACAAGAAGTGCAGGTGACGGAGGCAAACGTAAGTTACAGATCAGCTCTATATTGGATTCAGAAGAAGGAATGAATCATTTCATTGGCATTTGTTCGAGACGTTCTCACTTAAGGGTTCTTCAGATGCCCCCAAATAATAGAGGTTTGATATTTAAAGGAAATTTTAGATTTTTTTTAATTAAAGGCAGTGCAAAAGAGCTTTTCTTCAGTTTCGACAACTTCAAAAATATGATTTCGGTTTGTAAGAACTTGCAAAGAGGATGTCCCAGATTGTGGCAGTCGGCTTTTGTCACTGCATTGATAGTGTAAAATGTGCACCTACCTATTCAAAAAACAGGAGAGAAATGTTTAAGTCTTCTGCACTTCGAACTCTTGACGTCATTTATCATTATCATTAGTTTCATCATTCTTATATTACCATTGATGTTATCTTTTTTTTTTCTGGCAGAATACTACGTTTATTGGTGTAAACTGTGATACAAATGACGCAAAATTTGTTAAATTATCAAGCACCATCTCAGGTGGCAAGAGAACCTACAAGTGCTTTTGCGAAGGTACCCTATCTCTTGGAGTAATAAGGCTGTATTGCTACATGCACTACTGGAAGTGTCAGTCCTAAATAAGAAAACGTTAAGCCATTCCTTTTAACAGGGCCCTTTTTAAAGACAATAATAGTTTTTAACCAGAAACGAGATGAAGAGCAATTTAGGCAGTTTAACATGAGTGCTGCAGTATTAACAACTGCCCTGACTATATCATATTTTTTGTCGTTAGTAGCTTACTTGTTTTCAAATGTGTCCAGTAACAGAAAAAGGCAAATAATGATTTCATCAAATCCTATTGTTATGGATATTAATGGCTTATTGTAGACTTAGCCTTTCGGCATTAAGGAAGGTAACAGAGTTAGAAGTGCAGTCATCTTCTTTTGTTCGTTTAACATTTATCCATTAACTTTTCTTTAGCTTTATCAGAAACCGACATTTTAAGAGACGAGCCAATGAATTTTCCAAGAACAGTAAAAATAATTTAATTTTGCCAGAAATCTTTTTGCGACATTAACCGCTTAGCAGCAATTTTACATACTTAACCCAGTACTCCCCTCTAAGGTTGATTCCAAGGGAGTGTGTGTTCTTTTTATATGTTTATCTGTAACTGAGAGAAATAGATTTTCTATCGAAATGAAGAAATAGTATTGTAATCGTTACATGACAGGGTCAAACCGGGAAGAAATAGATGAAGGTAAACAACGACTTTCTACCTCTAGATTTGGCTTGTTGCGTTTGCCGCACATAAAAATCTCGCAACATGCATGATACCTTTGCTTCACAGTTTCATTATGAGAAAAAGAAAATCGTTCAAAATTGGGCCCCAATAATCATCTACCAAAGTGTGTTTTGATGAAAACAAACAGACGGATGCATTCTTCACTGGAAAGCTGTCGGGGCCCAATGATTTACCAGAGAGTGTTTCGAAATGGGTTTCCCAGTCTTCTGCCCGATATCGTAAGTATCAAACGAAAACTATATTCCAGCAAATGATTAGTATTTGTGAGACAATACCTAAACGTTTGCTAGCCCATCTCGTCTTCATTCCGAACAAATATCTAATTTTCAGGGGTGCGATTCGATTGACCAAGCCATTCCATTATTTCTAAAGAAGTTGATAAAATGTTGGGCCAGAAGCGAGGCGAAGACATTTTGGAGCATTTTGCTGTATTACATGAGTATTACCGATTGTCTATTTTATCAAATTTTATGTTCTTGGTGCGTTGTTTTTTTCGAATTTGCCCAGTGATAGTGAGGGACATATTATGCTTGTCGAATTCATGTATGTTGCAAATATTGGTAAACGGACAATTAAAGGTGTATTGCTAAATGTACTACTGGCCCTAAAAGTAAACGTAAACTATTCGCTTAACATGATTCTTTGTATCGAAGATGATGGGGATGTTAAACCAGTGGCCACGGGAAAACAGATTTAACTGACCTGTATGTTACACTGCTTAACAAATTGTCTGTATTATTATAAACACTGACGTTTATGTTGCATAACAATAAATTTTTTCAAATGTGCACAATTTTTGTAAGACGCAAATCTATCGACTAAATTATTTTTGCGATAGATATTTATAGCCAATTTTAGCGCTAGCTCAGAGGCGTTTAAGACATTAACATGGTTAAAATTGTACCGTCAGCCGCGATTTTATGAATTCGACCTGGTCCTTTTGAAAAACATTCTAACTTAGCGAACGTTAGTTACCATTGTTTCGCTGTTATTTCAAGAAATCCTGTACCCAACAGAAAAATAAATCACTTTTTTAAAAGTTTTTATGCATAACAGGTTCAACGCGAGTAGAGACAGAAAAGTAATCAATCAGTCCGGCCCATTGAAGTTTTGTTAGATTTTTTGTCTCTGCTATTTATGGCTCTTAGACCCAGTTCAGTTGATATCAGTAGCACAGAAAGAGCCTCGCGTCGACGTCAATCGAAGTTTAAATGGCGTCGGTTGAAATGTGTGGGAAAAGTCACAATTTAACGTCGAGCTGTGATGACTTATTTGGGTTGAGGACTCACATGCTATCAGTGCCATGCAAATTTGAGATATGTGAGAACAGTTTATCGACTCAATGACAAAGGACTGTCGAATAAAACGGTCTAACGAAAGCTTATTCAAAACTGAGCTCTCGGTTTAGTTGAAAAAGTATCGACCAGGACTCTGAGGAGATTCATCCCAGGAAATTTCTGATGGGATTCAAATAAATATGTTCTTTCATCAGTCGCTACCTTCCAGGGGCTGTCTTTTTGACAACTAACCGGAAATAGATCGTATCTGATCATATTTTTTGCGAAGATTTCACCGTGAGCAAAACTGCCCTTGTATGAGACAAGCTTGAGGGCACCCTTCAAATCAGGCAAACAAACAACCGGCGGCTAAGGTTGTAGCAAAAACGAAGACCCGCAAAAACAAAGACCTAAGACCTAAGACCTAAGACTCGAAAACGAAGATCCGAAGGCGAAAACCCCTCCACGACATGACTACTCCATAGCGGATTAAACGTGAACCTCAAAAATTGGGGTTGTTTAGTATTCATATATTCAGGCTATTGTTCTTTCTCATTACTTAATCATTCCGATGAGTTTGCCGACATGCCGTCATGCTTCCGAAGATCGTGAAGAGCGCAAGTTCTTTGATGTAGGTGAGATATTTTTCTTTTGTTAACAGATGAAATAAACTCTCCCGGGAATCTGCTTGATTGATGTCTAATAATTGCTACGCATTCCGGTGTGTTGGGCAACATGTCAAAGACATCAACCTCGGATCAAACCAAGCACTTATCAGCTTAGGCCTGTTCCAAACGTCGTGCTACTGCCGTGCCGAACTCAAATGAAATAGTAATTTCGATTTAAGCACGGCAGTAGCACGCCGTTTGAAACCATTAAGCGCGGCACGGCTGAATTAGGTTCGGCACGACTACTTAGCGCGGCAGGCCTTGCCGTGCCGCACGGCAGTAGCAAGACTTGGTTTCAAACGTTGTGCTACTGTCGCGCCGAACTCAATTCATAAATTAATTTAACGGATTTTGCATTATTTGCATACTATTACGCATGCGCACTAATAAAAAAAGACAAATCTACCCGTTTTGCCCGAAAGCTTGAGAGAAGAGGAATCCGACGGTGACAATAAATTGCTTAGGGTTAGGGTTAGGGTTAGGGTTTGGAAACGCCGGCACGATCGTAATACAGTAACTTGCTGGCTCTCGTCAAGGGAAACCAGAAGAAGAATAAATGAAAAAACTTTCAAAAGTAATCCTCTCCTTGCAATAACAGTATTCAATATGGACTGTTGCATTCGCCTGCGTTGCCTTCTGGCATTTAAAATTTTCTTAAACAAATTTGGATGGGGCGATACCGCTGGATGGATGGTTTGTTTTGTCTTTTGAATTTGGCGCGACTGCATTAGGTTCGACGTTTGAAACCGCTGCCGTGCTATCGTCGTGCCACTGCCGAGCCAAATTCATTTGAGTTCGGCACGGCAGTAGCACGACGTTTGGAACAGGCCTTACATGTCTTTTCAAGTAGAAGTAAGCATTGCATGCGCCGCGCGCCCCCAAATGGAGCTCGCGTATTTTAACATAGTACGGTATTTGCGATGTGAAGTTAAGAGAACAAGCGGTATAAATATACCATATAGATTTCAAACAGAGTTCTTAAATCATTGAGAACTTGCTTTGTTGCTTTCTAAGATATTTTTATCCAATGGAAAAAATAAAAGTACGAGTAATGAGTATAATAAATTAATAAAATACGTTGTAGAGTTTTCAATGCACGTAATGACTCGCGTAAACAAACCCCCCTTAAAGTGTTGTAATGCGACTTGAGAGTCGAATTCGGGACTTTTTTTACTTTTGTTCCTCTTCTCGTTTCTTTGGTTATAAACATTACCTCTGTTTTGCTTGATTCAGTCGACTTTGTGGATCGATCGATCAGCGAACGCCGCGTGATTAGTGGTCGGCTTGCGTGACTGTTGACAACAAGCAAGACACGACACGCAATTGGTTGCTTCTTGACAATAGTTCATTCACAATTTGTAAACATCCGTTCGCGTTCCACGCAGCAAGGGCAAAATTCAGCTGAGGCGATCTGCCGATCTACAATTTTTGTGGTTAGTTATGTTGCAAAATAAGGGTGTTGAGTTTGACAATGGATGAATCTTCTGATGGAGAAATTAACTGGCCAAAAAGTTTCAAGCCGATCTTGAAAGGTGGCAGTAAATACTTCGTGATCGACGAATCATTTCTGCTCGCACTAGGAGTCAAAGTCCATACAATCGTCACGCTTCATGGCTTCACCAGTGAAAACAGTGAAAAGCTTGGCAATTTCTTTGCTTGCAACGTGTTTATTTATCAGTTAATTAAGGCAAAAAAAAAAAAAAAACAAGCACACAAACAAACAAAATCGCCCACAATTACATTAGGCGCTAAACCGGAGATCGCTTTATTTCGTTAAATTTTCCTATTTGTTGCTTTCCTTAATTATTTTATTTTCGAAAACACTAGTACCCTTCAAAATTTCTAACCGCCCACCCTGACGTCCTCATCCTAAAAATAAATCAGAGCTTGCCGATGTGAACTTTCGACCCGACTGACACCAGTAGGTGTTACGACGTTGCTCTTCAGTCTTTTTACAGTGGAAAGTAATTTCAAGGCTATACCGTTATTCAAAAAACTTTTAAAACTTCATTTTTCATCTCCTCCCTAGTGTTAACACCTCTGGGTTGCGGAAAGAAAAGAAAACTTAAGAGCTAATGTCAGCATGCATCAGACAAACAGTGGTAATCACCCAAAATTTGCTTTCACCCCTAATTTTATATTTTGTAGCCTAATATGTCCTGATAATTGTGGTGTAGTTTTTTTTTTTTGAAAATATATTTTAATTTTCGATGAAATGCTCAAATATGCAAAATTTCACCGCGAATAGTACCCGAGTTGTGTGACCTCGTGTAACGAATGTACTTGACCTCCGGTATTTCTGTCAACATAATCCATCGTTTTATCATCTAAACTTAATCCCTTGTCATTATTGAAGCTGGCAAAGTCATATTTATTTTTTTGGTGAATATTTTTGTCCGACATACTTTTCCTGTGTCGAATAGTAGCATCAAAACAAAGACAGTTTTAACAATGACCGATATGACAGAATCTAATGAGCTTCGAGCTTTCAAAAGACAAAAGGATGGTTAAAAAGTTACTGTAAAAATTTCCTTGTTTAATTGTATTGTTCTATCTTGAGACGAACTCAAAGTCCGGCAAAATTTATTTGCTAGTGACTATGAAATATAATGGTGTACCTACTTGTCGGCACCGTTTGCCTGCATAAATCACTACAATTTGTAAAAAAATCTAACATAACACTCTTACCTTTTTTATTTATGATTTTATGAGCTGTTTCGATGATCACGTTATGCTCTACCACATTCTAGCCAGATTTGAGTTCCAGTTTTCATATCTTCTCCATCTTTTTATATCAGTTGCATGACCAGCGTGACACATGCCAATTCAAAGATGTATCAATCTCCGAATTACCAAGATATATCTAGAAAAACCTTTCAGGAACTACCGCATTCCGAAAACTAAAGATCTATCAATGATTCCTTTGCCGATTGAGTTCGATGTAATAGTCTCCACTTTTGTTAAGACGTTGACATTAATGTTGATTTGCATCTGAATTTAAGCTGAGAGTTCCAATAGTTCAGAATAGAAACATTTTTACTTATCATAGGCTTTACGAACGACTTGTACTAGGAGTAGTTTCTTCGTTCTTGTTCAGAAACTGTTTCATGTTATTATTTTAGAAAATCAGACAGATTTGTTTTTGTGACTGGACGCGTTAGTCTCCACTACTGTTATGACGTTTCGTATCAATGTTGATTCGCATCAGGAGAAGTAAAGATTTATTGTAACAATTTCAATAGTTCGAATACAGTAGTTTCTTCACATCTAATTCTTGCGTATACTGTACGACTCGCTATAATAAATACGGTAGAATTGGAACCAAATGGATGGGTTTTTTTTACCTTTATTGACGAGTGTTGTGTTGTGATTGAAAAGAACACCGACAAAAAGCTTGCAAATAGAATTGGTTACCAAATATGATACAAAGGATGATTAAAAGGAAAGTTTGGAAGGGGGGGGTCCAAATCTGCGAAGGGGGGTCCATATCCGCTAACGGATTTGGACCCCTGACACCGGCATCTTCGATACGCCAACAGATATCGATTATTTTATAATTTGCCCCACACATAGATATTGGGTAGAGTCGTGGTTCTAATAGTAGATGTAGAGTGCCTAAAGAGGTGTCCGGCCATTGCAATGGTAAGGTTAAGTCGATTCCAAAAGCCGATAGGGGAATTGGCAAGCGTGTATTACAGGTAGTAATCAAGATGTCTGGAAAATTCATCCAGCCTGGCTCCGGTAATTAGGCTACTTACCACCGTGAGAAAAATTACGCGTCCCGTCAAACCCTAAATCTCGATTGCA